AAAATACTGATCCTGAACGAAATGGGGGTGGGTGTTGTGGGGAGAAGGGAGCTGGATAGCTGGAAGCTATGTGGGTGAAAACTCAATACTGTCTTTCTTCTGCCACAACAAAAGGGATTGTTCATTTGTTTCAGGGAGCTGGCATTTAGGGGCTGGGAGAGAGACAGATAGAGAAGGAGTGTGTTTGGTTTGTGGACCTTGTTTTGAGCCAGATGTTGGTCACAGGGGGACGTGGTAGAATATTAACAAACTTCACGTGTCATGGCTGGGTCATAAAAAGGATGATTCCTCCATAGCATTTGTTAGAGTTTGCGGCATACACTCCTTTTATTTTTTTAATTGGAGGATAATTGGACAATATTGTGTTGGCTTCTGCCATAAAATGACACAAATAGCCACAGGTATACATATGTCCCCTCCCTCTGAAGCCTGTCCACACCGCCCCTCTAGGTTGTCACAGTACAGCATTGAGCAAAACCTGTGTTATACAGCCACTTCCCATTAGCCATCTAGTTCACATATGGTATGATGTATATGTTTCAATGCTTCTCCCTCAATGCATCCCACCCTCTCCTTCCCGCTATGTGTCCAAAGTCTGTTCTCCATGTCCCTATTCCTGCCCTGCAAATAGGCTCATCAGTACCATTTCCTGACCGTTTTTCTAGATTCCATATAGATTGTGGCAGACACTTCTTGGAATGATCATTTCGTTCCTCTTTGCCTCCCCTACTGGGCAGTGGGTCCAGGAGCAGAGTCATGTACTCTTCTGTCCCTGGAGCAGAGCTCTGCTTGCTTCTGGAGGAGACTAAATAGACAGATGCCTAATGAAGGACTGTTCATTGGGTCAACCTGAAGACAACTTGGAAAGATGCTCGAGGCAGGATGTCACTGACAGGTGATATCAGAGCCAGGTTTGGGTTGGTTTCAAAACTCAGTGGTTTTTCATTAAGTAGAGCCCCTCTGATCTATAAGTTAGGAACTAAGGGCCTTCACGGGCTATTTCCAATGCCCAGTTCCCTGCTGCCAAATTGCAGCACTCTGAAGACTGGTCAGGAAAGGGGGGAAGGGTCTGAAGCACTAAGGCAGGGGTTTTTGTTAAAGCCCCTTCCTGGGCTTCCCTGGAGGCTCAATGGATAAAAACCTGTCTGCCAATATATAAAATCTTAATGGGAAAATTTTTCCAACCCATTTAGTACAGAAGCAGGAATGCCAACCCTCCTGCAAATGGAGGAAGCTGAGAAGATGCATTTTCTACCCTCCGTGGTGTTGCTGTATCTCAAAACCAATCTTCCCATAATCTTGGAGGCTAACTTCCCAACTTTATGCTCCTCTGAAATCACTCTCATCTAAAGCCTGTGAGTGGTTTTCTCATCCTGGGAGCAAAAAGAGGTTTACGTTTGAAATTTCTGTCCGTGCACCTCACCCGAGAGGCAGGCTTTCTCCTCACGCCCCTGCCCCCACCCCCTTCATCCAGAGCCCATTCCTTCCTGAGCTGGAGGAGTTGCTCTAAATGATTACCTCAGATGAAGGAGAGCAGGAGATATTATTTCATAGTTCGCTTAGGGTTAAGTGAATCGTGAACCCCTCCAGCTCACCCAGTCTGGGGCCACAGAAGCACCGCGGCTTCCTGGCCAGGCAGGTTTTGTAGCTGCATGGAGCCTATCTCTCTGGCCTGATTAAAAAAACCATCAGATACCCAGCACTTGCGAGGTATCAAACCCCATCCTGCGCTCTAGTCCTGTGAGGAAAGCGAATGTCTCCATTTCGCACATGGAAAAAAAAAAAAAAGTTAGATTATTAGGTAAACTGCACAGAGAGCATTCCCAGCATGGAGCTGTCTTAATTCTTATATTACGTAGGATGAAACTGAAGAGTTTCGAGACCGTCATCGTCCCCAAACCACCAGAGTACTCAGACTGGCTAATTCAGAGAGGTGAGACCAAACTCAAACCCAGTTTTCAGATGCCAAACCTGGATCATTTTCTCAACACTGTAGTTCCTGTCGCCAAAATATAGGTTTACTTAAGAAAACCATAGGCATGTAAATCCACAAGCCAGGGATTGAGCTTGCGCCCTTGGCAGTGAAAGTGCAGAGTCCCAAGTGCCGAACCACCAGGGAAGTCCTTTCCCTCCACAAACATCTTTTTAGTTGGAATATAACTGCTTTACAACGTCATGCTAGTTTCTGCCGTACAACAACGTGAATCACCTATGTGCTGCGCTCTGCTTGGTCGCTCAGTCCTGTCCGACTCTTTGCAATCCCGTGGAGTGTAGCCTGCCAGGCTCCTCTGTCCATGGGGAGTCTCCAGGATCTTCCAGGGGATACTCAAGTGGGTTGCCATACCCTCCTCCAGGGGATCTTCCCAACCTCGGGATCGAACCCAGGTCTGCTGCATTGCAGGCAGGTTCTTTACTGTCTGAGCCCCCAGGGAAGCCTGAATCAGCTATAAGTATACACATAACCCCTTCCTCTTAAGTCTCCCTCCCATCCCTCTAGGCCATCACAGAGCATGGGGCTGAGCTCCCTGGGCGATACAGAAGTTCCCCACTAGTTAACTATTTTATGCACGGTAGTGTATATATATGTCAGTGTTACTCTCAGTTCATCCCACCTTCTCCTTCCACTACTGTGTCCACCATCAAATATTTTGATGCATTTTTTTTTTAATTTTGTATTTATCCTTTAGAGGAATACAACCTTTGCCAGACTCACTCCAGTCTCTTAGCCGATCCTTGCACAGTTTTCCAATTGGGAGTCGCTACCAGGTCATTCTATCTCTCAGGACCTTGTTGGCTGCCACCCCCTCCAAGAAGCCCTCCTGACCACGCCAGACCACACACTTCACCAGCAAGTCTCACTCACAGTTTCTATAGGCAGTGTTACCATCCAACACCTTCATCTTCTGTTTGCTTTCTCTCTTTTTCCCTGAAGCAACTCCTACTCCAAGGCACATACTACTGGCCAGAGCCTCCCCACCTGGCTATAACGGTTTTCTTCTAGTACCTCTCAGAGTTGTTTTTTCCAGTAGTCATGTATGGATGTGAGAGTCGGACCATAAAGAAGGCTGAGCGCTGAAGAATTGATGCTTCTGAATTGTGGTGCTGGAGAAGACTCTTGAGAGTCCCTTGGACTGCAAGGAGATCCAACCAGTCCATCCTAAAGGAGATCAGTCCTGAATATTCATTGGAGGGACTGATGCTGAAGCTCCAATACTTTGACCACCTGATGCAAAGAGCCAACTCATTGGAAAAGACCCTGATGCTGGGAAAGATTGAAGGCAGGAAGAGAAGAGGATGAGATGGTTGGATGGCATCGCCAACTCAATGGACATGAGTTTGAGCAAGCTTCGGGAATTGGTGAAGGACAGGGAAGCCTGGCGTGCTGCAGTCCATGGGGTCACAAAGAATCGGACAGGACTTAGCAACTGAACAACCAACAAAATATATAATCCTGTAACCCCTCAGTGACATTTGAGAGCTGTTTCCTGTCCTGGTTTTGGATGAGTCCCCCTGACCTTTGGGCACCTGACTCACCATCTTCTCCAGTTAAACCTGGATGCCACCCTGTGGGACTTCAGTCCCCTGTGGAGGTGCTGTCTTGATCCTTCGGCCTCCTCAGCTCCAGCCACTGTCCCTCCTCTAGAACCCTGTGACTCACCTTGGAGTTTATCAATGGGAACTCTTCCACCACTGTATGTCTGAAGTTCCAAATCCCACTCCTGGTGCACAATGGCCACTGCTTCCTTTTTCTTTTTTTTTTGGCTGCACTGTGCAACACGGGGGATCTTAGTTCCTCAACCAGGGATCGAACCCACGCCTCCTGCATTGGAAGTGTGACGTCTTAACCACTGGACTGCTGAGGAATGCCCTAGTCTCATTTCCTAACAAATAGAAATCCACCTTTCAACTTCTTTAAAACTTCAGTGCCTTTGCTTCCTCTGCTACCTGTGAGTTCTTAGCTTCTTTCTGATCACATTTCCTCCCCCTTCCCCTAGCCTGAACTCCTTACAAACTTCTGACTCACCAGCCACTCGGGTGCCTGGGTCTCCTGTCCCCCTCATGAGCCCCTACCCCTACTTCAATCTGGAGATCCTGTTAGACCGCGAGTGAGGTTGCGTCGCTGTGACTGCAGACTGATGCCATGCCAAGCTCACAGCATCTGTTCTACATTGGGGCCCTTAATTTGACTCAGTAACCTTTTTAAGGCCCTCGGTCAGGTTCCTTTCTCATTCTGCTCAACAGATCTTGGGACCTTTCATCACTTTTCTCCAACTTTCCATCAAATTCCCACTCTGTTTACCTGGCAGGTGATCTGACCTTCCCTTTGGAGCCAGCCAGCCGTCAGGGCACCCTGCCTCACTGTAGTGGCTCCTTCAGCAAGCTTAGGCTACCTTCATCCTCATTTCCTTCCATGCGTGTGTGCTAAGTTGATTCAGTTGTGTCCGACTCCTTGCGACCCCATAGACTGTAGCCCTCCAGACTCCTCTGTCCACGAGATTCTCCAGGCAAGAATACTGGAGTGGGTTGCCATTTCCTTCTCCAGAGGATCTTCCCAACCCAGGGATCAAATCCAGGCCTTCTGCACTGCAGGCGAAATCTTTATCACTGCACCACCTAGGAAGCCCCATTTCCTTCCAGTCTCCAAGAAAAAATTGTCCCTCTGTTCAAAGTTAGGCCAACCATCTGATCACCTGGTCCCATCCTGTCTAACCTTCCCCCAACCCTAGGAAAATAGCTTGATGAAACATCCTCTTTCTCATACTTTTGAACTTCGACCTTTCATTACATTTCCCTCCCCAACATTTGAATATATTCAAATCTCTCCCATTCAAATCCATAGATGCACACTAAACTTCATCTCTCTGTTCTTCTCTTCTTCACTGCCAAGCTTCTTAAAAGTTAACCTATACAGGTATACCATGCTGTCTCCTCCTCCTTATTTTTTTTTTAAATATGGAATGTTTCACAAATTTGCACAACAAGCTTACGAAGGGGCCATGTTAATCTTCTCTGTACCGCTCCAATTTTAGTATATGGGCGGCCAAAGTGAGCATCTCCTCCTCCGCCTCTGTGTAAAGACTGTTCCCATCACTCACTGAAAAGGCCTTGGCAAAGGTCAATGATGACCTCTCTGCAGTGGACTCCTCATTCCCATCCTCCCCAGCCTTTCTGTAGTGTTCAAGGTTGCGCTCCCACACTCTGCTCCTTCCTCCCCATCTCTCTTCTGTCCTCGGTCCACACTGGCTTCCCTTTCTTTGCCAGTCTCCACACTCTGCTCCTTCCTCCCCATCTCTCTTCTGTCCTCGGTCCACACTGGCTTCCCTTTCTTTGCCAGTCTCCACACTCTGCTCCTTCCTCCCCATCTCTCTTCTGTCCTCGGTCCACACTGGCTTCCCTTTCTTTGCCAGTCTCGTAGATGGCAGCTCACTGGATGTCTATTCTGAGTCTCATCCTTACCTTCCCTGGGCGACTGCTTCTACCACCAGGATTTTACTAACTGAACTACAACTAAGTTGCTCTCTCCAGGGACTTCCCTGGTGGTCCAGCGGTTAAGACTTCATGCTCCCAATACACAGGGCCTGGGTGTGATCCCTGGTCAGGGAAATTGATCCCACATACTCATTTGAAAAGACCCTGAAGCTGGGAAAGATTGAAGGCAGGGAGAGAAGGGGACAACAGAGGATGAGATGGTTGGATGGCATCACCGACTCAATGGACATGAGTGTGGGTAAACTCCGGGAGTTGGTGATGGACAGGGAGGCCTGGTGTGCTGCGGTTCATGGGGTCACAAAGAGTCGGACATGACTGAGTGACTGAACTGAAATGAACTGTCATTAAGAGTTCACGTGCTGCAACTAAGACCTGATACAGCCAAATATATATATATTTAAAAGTTATTTTCTCCAGCCTAAACCTTTGCTGGGTTCCAGGTCTATATGTATATTTAACAACCTACTGGACAGTTTCACTTGGATGTCCAAAACAAGACTTTTTTTTCCTTATTGAGCTTGCTCCTATTTCTTCGGTCCCATCACCCAAATGATTGATAAGATAATAATACTGATGATGAGTAATGTTTATGGATTCCTTACTACATGCCAGATACAGTTCTAAACTTCAGTCACCATGAAAATATTGTAAGAGAGGTATCATTATCCCCATTTCACAAAAATGGTAATAAACACAGAATGATTTGTTACTCAGGAAGTAGCATTGTTTTTTACCTGAATACCCAATCCAGCAACCCCCCAAAAGAGTCCTGTCCTTTTTATTTCTCCTCCTTCATGTTCAGTCAGGCATCAGATCCTGTGGTGCTTCTCTTTGCATTTCTCTGGCTTTGTCATCTCCTCTCTAACACTTCTTTTTCAGAATCTGTGCCTGTGTCCTACTTCAGACCCTCCTCATCAACCAACCAGATTCTTAGCCTGCTGCCCTAACAGCTCCTCTTGCCTCCAGCCTTAGCTCCCTCTGCCTGCCGCCCAGTCATTCGCCCCAGCTCCTCTAGAGTGGTCCTGCTGAAATGCAAGCTTGATCATGTTACTACACTGCATAAGGCCAGTCAGCGACCCCTCACCTACCACGTTGCTTGCTCTGCAGGGCACGAAAGGCACACTCCATGGGCTGCCCACCGCATGACTTTTCATCTCCATCTCCCACTCTCCCCCTACTTTCGCTTTGGATATTTCAGATACGTCTCTAAGGGCCAAAGGCAAAAGCTTTTGCTCACACTGCTTTCTCTGCCAGGAATGCCCTCCACCATGTCTGTGTCTAGGAAACTAGTCATCCCTCAAAACTGTGCTTTCTATTATGTAGCCAGTAGCCACGTGAGGCCACTCCGAATTAAGATGTGCTGTGCTATAAGAATGCTCACGCTCTGTCGCTAAGGCGTGTCTGACTCTTTCGTGACCGCGTGGACTCTATGGAATTTTTCCAGGCAAGAATACTGGAGTGGGTTGCCATTTCTCACAAAATGGAATGTTATTTGGCTTTTTTTAAAAGGAAGGAAATTCTGACACATGCTATAATACAGATGAAACTTGAAGATACTATGCTAAGTGATCTGAACCAGTCACAAAAAGGCAAATATTGTATTACGAGATATCTAGAGGAGTCAGACTCAAAGCAACAGAAAACACAATAGTGGCTGCCAGGGAGTAGGATCACAGAGAAATGGAGAATTGTTTGATGTGTATAGGATTTCAGTTTTGCTAAGTGAAAAAGTTCTAGAGATTAGTTACACGCCATTGTGAATATATTTAACACTACTGAAGTGAACACTTATAAATGGTTAAGGTGGTAAATCTTATGTTCTGTGTACTTTTACCACAGTGAAATTTAAAAAAAAAAAATCTGTTTCCAAAAAAAGAAAACCTTTCCCAGTTACCACAAACCTCCTCCTCTCTAGTGTGAATTAACTAGTCCTTCATCATGCCCCCACTTTATCCTGCACATACCACTATTAGAACACTTATCACATTTTTGGTAATTATTTGTTTGACAGGATAAAAAGGTTACGGTTCCATGAGTGAGATGATCACTCATCCACTTCTAGCGTCTTGACCAGAAGCTAAGAAAATATGCTAGGGTCTTTGGCAAGATGGAGAAAAGAGACAGTCGTCCTGATGGCATAATATACTACAGGGGATGTTCATTATCAGCAACAGGATACCTTGTTTCTGTAGAGGTTTCACTCTGAGGCTAGACCTGGAAGGGCTATTTGCTGTCACCCCTCTTTTGTAAGTATTATCTGAAGGGCCTGAAGAGCACTTCCTCCCACCTCCAAAACATAAAAACATCCCCCTCCCCATCCTGAGTTCAACCAGCTGATGTGGTTGGCACACCCAGTATGATCTGTGGATGATGCTCACTTAAGACAGATTCAAGCTAGAGTACTTTAACTAACAGGATAAGGGTCTCTGAGGCCCCCTGAAGAATGATTTAGCCACCCCCCTGGATTCTGTATGTACTGGATTAGGCAAAAAGTTCATTCAGGTTTTTCCAAAAAAATCTTACAAAAACCTGAACGATCTTTTTGGCCAACTCAATACACTTGATGCCTGACAAGGTGGGTTCCCCCCACCCCCCAGATAATGGACTGGACCTTGCTGCCCTTCCCAGTTCATAGCCAAGAGGTAACATCTCTTTGATCTGTCTTCTCTCCTAGATGGAGAGCTACTTTAGGGCAGGGACCACATCTTATCCATCCTCGTATCCCCAGCATCCACCAGTTCCAGCACCTAGCAGGTACCTAATACGTACCCAACCAATGACTGAATGGTTACAGTGATGGTGGGGTGAGTCATTACGATAACCCAGAGAGAGGCTTTTGACAGAGCAACTAGTTCACCCTGAGATAAAGGACAGGCTGAATAGAGAGCCACAGAGAGTATGTGGGTCTGGGGGTTGTGGGGAGCAGAGGAAGCGTGAGAAGTGGTTCAGTATGAAACCAAGGTTGATGAAACTGACACCCTCGAGTTTCTGTTCTGTTGTCTCACATGTCTATTCTTGCCTGGAGGATCCCATGCACAGAAGAGCCTAGTGGGTTGCCAAGAATCAGACGCGACTGAAGCAGCTTAGCATGCACGCAGACGTTTCATGTTCTGCTGTCTCACTGGTCTAATGACAGTGCTGACATTTATCTGGTGGCCCGGCAACTATCCTTTCATTCTATAATTTCAGCTTTGTCTGAAGAAACACCCTAACACTGACTCAGGGGCCCCCATTCCACAAGTCACATATCTTGGGTCAGTTTTAAATTATACATTATTTTCTTCTGGCTGATTGAACTGATTCAGGTCTGCTAACAACAAGATGCTCATGTGTGGCCCTTTCAAGTAATCAATTCTGGGTAATTTTTTTTCTGTCTCAGACAATGCGAGAGGGCTTCCCAGGTGACGCTAATGGTCAAGATTCTGCCTGCCAATGCAGGAGATGCAAGAGACACAGGTTTGATCCCTGGGTCAGGAAGATCCCCCAGAGAAGGAAATGGCAAGCCACTTCAGTATTCTTGCCTGGGAAATCCCATGGACAGAGGAGCCTGGTGGGCTACAGTCCGTGGGGTCGCCAAGAGTCAGACATGACTGAGTGCACAGCATGTTCCACAGAAGGCTGGTAAGAATCACTAACAGTGGTTGATCCCAAAGTCAGCTTTGTCAACGTAAGTCTCCTTTCTAACTCACATTTATAGAATTTGCAAGCTGGAAAGAAGAGCAAAGATTAGACGGTTAGATAGCATCACTGACTCAGTGGACAGGAATTTGAGTAGACTGCAGGAGACACTGGAGGACTTTGGAGCCTGGGGGGCCGAAGTCCACGGGGTCGCAAAAAGAGCGGGACAGGACTGAGCAACTGAAAACAACAAGGAAATTAGTCCCGAGGGGACCGAGTTGGGTCACAGTGAGTGAGAATTAGAATTCAGGGCCCCAGGCTTCCATACCTGGGCCTGTCTTCTGCTCACTGCAGGTGCAGCCACGGCTTTATGGGGCACAGTCAACTGCCCCTTCTCTGCACTCCTGTGCCATCAGGGTACTCTCTGGGGAGCTCTAAATTATCTGCCTTAGGGGGAACGAGCAGACAAGATTTTTTCTTAGGTTCATTCGCCTTGGAACCTTCTGGGTGTTTTTTTTTTTTTTTTTCCTTTTCCTAAAGCCACATTTTCAACCGGGGCTGACTTCAAGGCTAAGACAGTCCAGAAGCCAACTGGCTAGGGGAGAATTTGCCAGGAACAGCTGCAAGGCTGATGGGCTGCGCAAGTGGGCCGGGCCCGACTGGCTACTAACTGCCCCCTTGATCATTTATCTAACAGGCGCTATCTGAGCACTTACTCTGTGCCTGGCTGCAGTTGTTCAAATAACCGAGCGAGCGGCTGCCTCCATCCCCTCCACACAGGCCCCAGAGCCATAGGAGCCGGGAGACATCTGGCCTTAACTTGTGCTGCGATTTGGGAATAGGATTGCAAATTCTCCAGCCTGTAGCTTCAAAGAGTGGGGGAAAAAAAGAAGTCTTTTTCAATAGGGAAAGGTATTTCGGGGAACTGGAGAAACCACCGCAGCAGCAGCACAAGTGGTTTGGAGGCTCTGCGGGCTCCCTGACCTTGCAGCCACAGCCCCCTCGACCCACTCCCTCGCGCCCCGACCCCGGCGGAGGCTGCCCACTGCCCTGCGGACTGCCCCGTCCGGCCCCGGGGAGCCCGGGCAGCCGAGGCCAAGGGGGCGCCTTTCTCTTTAAGAGCCGCAAGGGCGACCCTGATTGGCTGTAGCTATGCAGGTCTTTCTTCCCCGCTCCCTCGGAGCAGTCCCTCCCCCGCCGCGCTCTCCGCTCTTTCCACACCCCCTCCCCTCCCCCGGCGCCCCCTCCCGCCCCGCGCGCTCGCCCCCTCTTCCTCGCCGCGGCCGAGTTCTTCTCCGGCAGCCGAGCGGGTGATGCGCCAGCAACAGATGCCGGGCGCCAAGATTGGCATCCTTAGGCCACGCTGAACGCCTGAAGAAGCGAGAAGGAAGCAGAGAAGGGCCGGGAAGGCGGGGACAGGAGGTGCCGGAGATCCCCCCCGCCCAATCCCCTCAAAAAAAGGCAGAAGCCGCCGCCCCCACCGGAGAGCTCCGCGCCCCAGAGATCGCCGGCTCGCTGCCACTGCCGCGGGCGCCCAGGTCTCCCCAGCCATGCCAGGCCCGGCTGTGGACGCGGAGAAGGTCCCCTTCCGCAGCGCCAAGGAGGAGATCCGTGCTGGGGTCGGGGTCGAGGGCTCGGAGGGCGGCGGCGGCGGCGGCCCGGAGAGGCCGGGCGCGCGCGGGCACCGGCAGGACATCGTCTGGAGGAACGTCTTCCTGATGAGCCTGCTCCACTTGGCGGCCGTGTACTCCCTGGTGCTCATCCCCAAAGCCCAGCCGCTCACTCTGCTCTGGGGTGAGTAGTCCCGCCCGCGCCCCCCTGCGCCCCCGGGCACCGAGGCGCGGCGAGGCCGGCGGCGCCGGGGCGCGCGAGATCACTGGTCGCCGCTGGCTGCGGGAGGTGCGGAGCTCCCGCGGCTCTCGGTTCGCCTTCTCTCCTGCTCCCCCCAGCTCCTTCCCCCGCCCCCAGGCCTGTAGTTGTCCGGCCTTTGGGACGGGAAGGTATTTCTATCCAGGTATTTTCAACTTCTGCCCCCTCCGCTGTCTCCTTAAGTAGGCGCCCTTGGCGACCCCTGGATGGAGAGCGAGAGGGACTCGGGGTCCTGCGGCGCCGGCGCCGTGCGCAGAGGCGCGCGAAGGGGGATGCCAAGCCCGGGCTCCAGGGCTGGGAGACCAACGCGGTGACTGTGTAGCCCCTGCGCGTCCCAGGGGCGCTCCAATCGGTCGCCTTTCAGCGTCTCAGCCTCCTCGGTGGGCCACGGACCTTGAGGCCGAGTGAAGGACTAGAAAGGGAGTTGTAGCGGGGGGTGGAGAGACCACCCGCACGGTTCAGCGTTGATTTTCGCGCAGGAGGTGGAAGAAGCCAGTTCCCTTCCTGCCCCTGTAAGGCCCCCGTCCCTGCCCCCTCCGGGATCTCATGTGCCCTGTTGCAGTTTTCCGGTCCCAGAAGTTTCTCGGCGAGCTCTGGCCCAGCACAAAGCTCCGAGGTGGCTGTGTAGACCCCTCCAGGCCTGACCCCTTCTGACCAGGTGCCAGTCTGTCACCGCACCTGTAGCGCTCCCTCGCGCCACCCACTTTCCTAGCACCCCCACCCCTGCCAGCATGGGAGGGAACCCCGGAGCCCAATTCCCCTCCAGTCCGCCCCCCCCCCCAACAGCTCCTGGGGGCCGGGAGACGCGGGCGGGGGAGGCTTCAGAGCCTGCCCCGCATGACTTCGATGGCTGACTCAGAACCACTTCCAAACCCCCTGCCCCAGTAACTGGTTTTGGCCTCAGTCACTGTAGTGGCCACCTTAGCCGGGACAAAAAGGTGCCGGGGGCTTTGCTATCCTGGGCTGAGTATCTGGCGAAGTAATCCAAAAAGCCCTTTAAGATCTGTCCGAGATGGGCAAGGAACGGGGCCGGGTTGGGCGGGGGCGGGGGGGGGCGTGGGGGTGATGTGCAGGAGAAACACAACCTCCTTTTATTTCCAGAGGGAAAGAGGAAGGAAGAAAATCTGAAGACCTCTTTCGGCAAAGCTTCCGACTTGGCATAGTGCCAGCTCCAAGTGCCTGGGTTCAGAACGGGGCCACTCGGTTTTAAGCTGTCCCTTGAAACTCTGCAGTCTCTGCTCTTGGAAGCAGACCCTTCCAGAAGATGGGTGCCTCTTGGGGAGGGTGCGTGGCTGAGCAGAGTTGAGGAATGTTGGGAGGGGCATGGGTCTTTGGGAATCTGTGCAGTCTTTGAAAGTCCCCTGAAAGCTTTGAGTAACCTCTCCCAACATCAGTACACTTCCTCAAGTCAGTGTCCTTTTCTCCATCTTTTTTTTGTTATGTATTGGTTTCCTTCTCCTGTCTTCTTTCTACCTTTACCTCTAGATGATTAGATCGTAAGATGCTCAGCCATTGCTTCCTGGACACACTCCCTCCACCAGCCAACCAAAGCTCTTATTGCCCTGTACCCCCTAGAACAGCTCCCTCTGCACCCCTCCCCCCCCCCAAGTCCAAAGACTGTGCCTTTGGACTTCAGAGCCCTCCTGTCACCAGGGGATTAGAGCTTAGTCTTAATAGCTGCAGTGTCTGAGAAAGCTCAGGGAGAAGTGAGCACTTAAAATATTGTCTTACATGCCCGGAGCTCCACAGGCCCACAGGCTCCACCCGTTACAGCCACTCACCCCCTGGTTTTGGCCTCCCACCAGGAGCCACAAGGACAAGGCCTCCTCTCCAGCTTCGCCAAGTCACCTCTGCCCTTTCCCAGCCACTCATGGTGGTGGAGACAGAATCTTTGTTCTGAAAGACCTTGGCTGGAAGATAGCATCCTGGCCCCAGACTCTTCTGGCTCCCTGGAGAAGTCAACACACTGCAGGAATCTGGGATCCACTTGATGGGTGATACTGCCAGGCCCATCCTTCTGCCTCCCTGCAGAGTCTTCTGCTTTAGCTACTTTTCATCAGTTTCATTCCCCGAATCTTGATTCTCTCCCCACCTGAGCTTCATGGCCCTTCCCACCCCTGCTCCCTCCCCCCGCCCCCCAAAAAAGGGCAGACAATGGTGGATGTTGTAGCTTCAAGATCCAAACTTGTGACTTAGAAACATTCCATAAGTGAATGTTATCTGATGGATATCTTGTGAGAGAAGAAGTGAGAGAGAGAGACAGCCAAGATCGGTGTGCTGATGGTCTCCTGGAGGCCTGTTGATCAGGATTATTTTTGTTGAAAACCCCCATGCCTTGAGCTACAGATTTCTCCCCACTGGATGCCTTTTCCATCCTCACTCCTACTGTCTCTGTCTAGTGTTAGGGCTGAGCTTATGCACCAGTGGGTTGTTCATCCACTTCAGGGACCTGGGTTGTCAAGGCAATAAGGCTTAGCCAGCCCATCCATTGCTTGCCACCCTCCACCCCAGGTATGGTTGCCCTGGAAACAGGAGGCATCCATGCAGTGTACCCAGCAAAGGATGTGTTAGGTGTGCAGTGTGCGGAGAGTAATTTGCTTGGCGGTGAAATGTCATCCATGAAAGATCTCATCAAGTTGTTCAGTCCAAACCTCCTCCACTGCCTCATCCCCCGCCTTTTTATGACTCTCCTTGGGGCCAGAGCAAGTTGTTTACTCTCCTTATCCTTGCAGTTTTCTGAGTGGGCAGGCTGTCAGAATGGAACACTCTTGGTGCCCACAGGTCCTAAGGGATGAGTTTTTTAGTTTCAAGGACAGAATGTGAACTCCAATTGGAGGAAAAATCTTCACCTGAAAGTTCAAGCTCACAAATGGGCCTGCTTTGAGGATTTTTGACCAAAGGAGCAGTTAGTTCATGCCCTGACTCCCAAGATGAGTAGAATAAGGGAGTGAGGAGCAGTAGTCATGATTCAAGGCCAAAATCCTAGTGCTTTTTCCCAGCAAGCTTTGCCCTATGTCCAGGCATTCTGGCCATTGATTTCCAGAAACAGGAGGAACTTTTCTGGTTTCCCTTGAAATGTCATTCGAGCCCCCTAAATATGCCTTGGTGACATCATGACTACCTCAATGAGAGGATCAGGCATGCGAAACAAGTCAGCTGCCCTGCTCCTTTCCATCTTACGGTTATTGTTGTTGTTCAGTCGCTAAGTCGTGTCCAATTCTTTGCGACCCCATGGACTGCAGCACTCCAGGCTCCTCTGTCCTCCACCATCTCCCAGAGTTTGCTTAAATTTATGTCCATTGAGTCAGTGATGCCATCCAGCCATCTCATCCTGTGCTGCCCCCTTCTCCTCCTGCACTCAATCTTTCCCAGCATCAGGGTCTTTTCCAATGAGGTGGCTCTTTGCATCAGGTGGCCAAAGTATTGGAACTTCAGCTTCGGCATCAGTCCTTCCAATGAATATTCGGGGTTGATTTCCTTTAGGATTGACTGGTTTGATCTCCTTACAGTCTATGGGACTCTCAAGAGTCTTCACCGGGATCACAATTTGAAAGCATCAGTTCTTCAGCTCTCAGCCTTCCATCTTGCCTCGGGCTGAATGTGTCTACTGCTAAAGTAGATAGAGGATTCACTGGTGCTCTTTTGGTTGCTGAAACCCAGCTTATGGTAGGAAGCTGAGATGTGGCAGAGGTGGATAAGGTAGTCTGGCAGGGGCTTGGGTCAGGAGAGGCAGGGGTTTGGAACCTGCTGGTCCACTAGTCAAATTCTGTCCAATCCTGTGAGCTACCAGGCATTGGGTAGCCTGAATCCACACCTTCGATGGTCCTAACGTCTTTGTTGAGTTGTGCTTCTTCTCCTGTCAAATCCCTAATATTGTTGAGGAGCTCCAAGAATGCATGGCCATGGACTTCTGTTTCACCTCCGGGTTTCCTAGGGTGAGCACGGGTCAAAAGAGAAACAGCTCTGAATGTGAATCCCTGCTCTCCTACTTGTTCACCAGCTGCATAGCCTGATGGGACAAATGAACATCTCCAGACCTCAACTTTCTCACCTGTAAAATGGATAGATCGGTACTCCTTGCCCATGAGGTTGTGAGAACTAAATTCGATAATAGGTGTAAATTACTTGGCACAGTGTCTGACCCTTGGCTGATGTCCAGTAACTGTTAGCTGCCCTTATTATTCCTGGTCCTGATACTGGCTTTTTTTCCTTTAGTAGAAGGAAAAAAGGCCCTCTTGTAGCACAATCAGTTCTACAAAGCTGGCATACAATGTGGCTTCGTCGCCTCTTGCATGGAAAAGATTGCTTTGGTTTGGGAAACAAGGGTTCTTTCTCAAAGTGTCCAAAGAGAAATGAACACAAATAGCCCTGTTCCTCCTCCCTCCCCCAGTCCCTTCTCGTTCATCCTCTCTTCCTCCCATTTTCCTCTAAAAGGTCACTATTTTGTAAATAAGTACCTTTTTGTTCAGCTGGACAACTCACCTGGTCTCTAGTGTTTTCTTTGGGGCTTTTTGAGCGGAGCCAATCGCTGTAAAAACAGGGCTTAATCATTTCTCTACATGTCTTAGGTTCTCAGTGTTGAATTTTTCCCGCATTTGTCTTCTTGAGTCATCTTTTAAAAAAAAACAAAACTTTAATGTTCAAACTACTAAAAAAACTGAAAAACATCAAGGAAACTTCCCTTTAAAGTCTGTAATTCCCAGCCCCTTGTTGCAACTCTTCCATTTTTAATAATGGGGCAAGCACCAAGGGCCGCGCCCCAGGCTGGGTGGAGTACAGAGAAACCCGGGAGAATGGGGTGTGCTTTTACTGGCTTCATAGTCTCAACAAGTATAAATATAGGTTAAGATTAACATTATTAACTCAGTTCTTTTTTTCTCCTAAAACTGGTCAAGGTTACTGCCAACTGCACTGTGATCCTAAAA